AACTCTGGGATTCTGATCGGTTTCAGAAGGAGTGCCATGATCGAAAAAATAAAGAGAAAATGCTCGCTTTGAGGAGAGCAGCTGTGCAGTTGTTCTAAAGTAGAACAAGTAATCCAGTAAAATCCTAGGGCACACAAATAATACGGAATGGCACGGATGACCATTAATGGCTTCGTTTGGGCAGGGTGTGGATGAAATCATTAAAATGGCAGAATTGTTGAGTGCAGAATGTGAGCCTGTGGGAGCTAAAAACAAAGCATGTAACATGTATCAAAGCAAATGGTATCAAAATGATGACCCAGCACTTTTCACATGGTATTTACTTTGTAAAAGATACTGTGTGTTAAGAAACTGGTGATAGTGGTGCTGGTCTAGGAAGGAAGGATAAACATTCTTGTGAAAATGTTGCATCAATCAGGAAAATAAAAGTGCATTTCAGGCCCGACTGGAAGTATTGCGGTGATGACTGAAGAATCTATTTTTAAAATAGCGTCATTTATTTATTACGAGCTTTGACAAGAGGCATAAACAACCCTCCTCGTAATGAATGTGATCATTGTAACTCCTTCTCCTAGAATTGTCTGTATGCTATGCTTCCTGTAAATATTGGATTCAATCAAATCACGGAGAATATGATTTAGATGTAAATATAATTCCCTCATTTAAAATATGTGAATACTTTTTCTGGAGAGAGGGCTTCAAAGAGAAGACCGATTCTTACCTGTGTAGCGTTGTCTTGGAAAGCGTGAGCTACACACAGCTAATGAAATGGATTGCATCGTGTTTTCTTTCTAGTCGGACAAGCAGGAGGCATGCCGGAGGTGGGTGCAATCCGGCAAGAGGTTGATCACTGTTGTAAACAAATCGTCCAGAGAATGTGTGCATTTATTTTCAGGAGTCAAGGTCACATTTTAAAATATTTGTATTTGTATTTTTTGTAATGTTTATTTTGAGAGAGAGAGAGACAGACAGTGCACGAGGAGGGGAGGGGCCAGAGGACAGAGAGGGAGACACGGAATCGGAAGCAGGCTCCAGGCTCTGAGCTGTCAACACAGAGCCTGACGCGGGGCTCGCACTCACAAACCATGAGCTCATGACCGGAGCTGAAGTCAGATGCTCAACCGACTGAGCCACCCAGGCGTCCCGAAAATATTTATATGTGTAATTATAAAGGTAATTCACGTGTTTCGTAAGTGTTGGAAGTTTTTGAAAACATACGTAAGAAAATAAAGGGATCGCTTAACACTTCTGCTAGCAGAGAATAACCTGTGAGTACTTTGCTGTTATTCTTCCAGCTGTAGGTTAGTATGTCTGTTAACATAAATGTGTCTCACAGCCCCTCAGTCCTGATTTTTAATTTGAATAAGATTGAAATTTGGGGGCATCAATCATGCCTAATTTAGATTTTAAATTTGGACTATGGGACTTCTAGCCACGGTGAAATAACAGGAACCCAACTCCTACCTGATAGACCTAAAAATACGAATGAAAACTATGAAACAATTTTCAGTTTATTAGACATCTGGCCGTGAAGGACAGCGACCTCTAAGAGATGGAAAACAAAGGAGGTAAGTTCTAGGGCACCCTAGTTTATTTGCCCAGGAGGATAATGCATGTGTGCAAGGAGGGGGGCGGGGCTGGACAGTCTCCTTGAGTTCAGATGGAGCAGGGAGTCCAGGAAGGCCAGGGTAGCTAAAATTGGCAGGACAGGATGCTAAGAGGAGATTGCTGTACAGAAAGAGAACTCTGGAAATCACACAGGGCTGGGAGTAATTCCTGTTCCCATTAGAGTAGAAACCCTCATAATTTGTGTGGCATTAGGGTACTTGACAGGGTTCTGCCTTTGCAGTGAAAACATGGGTACAACGTCAGGGAAGGCCCTCTGTGTTATTTATTGTCTTTTTGTGTTTTTATTTTTTAATATTTTTTAAATGTTTATTTTTGAGAGAGATCACAAGTGGGGGAGTGCCACAGAGAGGGAGACACAGAATCCGAAGCAGGCTCCAGGCTCCGAGCTGTCAGCACAGAGCCCGACACGGGGCTCAAACTCACAAACCGTGAGATCGTGACCTGAGCCGAATTTGGACACTTAACCGACTGAGCCACCCAGGCACCCCTATTGTTTTTGTTTTTGTTGTTTAGAGAGAGAGCACATGAATGTGAGTGCGAGTGGGGGTCAGGGGCAGAAGGAGAAAGAGAATCCTAAGTAGGCTCTACACTCAGCACTGAGCCCGATGTGGGGCTCGATCCCATGAACCTGGGATCATGACCTGAGCCGAAATCAAGAGTCAGACGCTCAAGTGACTGAGCGACCCGGGCACCCCGACTTTTGTTTTTTTAAACCAGAGCTATGGGGCGCCTGGGTGGCGCAGTCGGTTAAGCGTCCGACTTCAGCCAGGTCACGATCTTGCGGTCCGTGAGTTCGAGCCCCGCGTCAGGCTCTGGGCTGATGGCTCAGAGCCTGGAGCCTGTTTCCGATTCTGTGTCTCCCTCTCTCTCTGCTCCTCCCCCGTTCATGCTCTGTCTCTCCCTGTCCCAAAAATAAATAAACGTTGAAAAAAAAAATTTAAACCAGAGCTAACATGTCCACCAAAGAAACCATTGTTCACCTCCTAGGACTCAGGGGTTTTAGGAATTCAGCCCCTGTTAGTTGTTTGCTTACACAGTGGTTTCCGTGGTGTTTCCTCCTCCACTACCTAGGAGAGATGTTTTGGTGTTTGACCATCTAGGTGAGCTTGTTCATTTGCTGATGTCATCAGTGGCCGGTTTCAAATAATATGTCTTATTAGACTCTTACCTGCAAATATCAGTGTGGTTTCAAGAACCATCCCTAAAGTCAGGGTTATAGCCTAAGAACCAGATTATGAGCAAATCAGACTCTACTTGCCAGCTCATTTGAAAGTGTGTTGCAGACGCCAGGAGGGGCGCTCAGGCATCTGACCATCCTCCAAAGTACACTTTTACTGCTAAGGGCCTGTTGCTATCAGGGTTCCGGAAAGAGGGATGGCCAGCCAGCGGGACATCCTTCTGCAGAGAGTCTGGGGGAAGGCAGGCGATTGGGGCTGTTCATTGGGAGCACAGGTCTCCAAAGGAAGAAAAAGTGATGAGCGGTCAGCAGGCCGGATTCTAGAGCTGGACAGGGAGGCAGACAGAGGGAGATCAGGGGAAGGGTGCGGTCACGCAGGAAAGTGCCGGGATTGAGACACACACCAGCACGTGGGCAGTCACCTCCCCAGGAGCTCTGGGGCTCAGGCAGGCCGGACGGTAGGGAAATAAAGCCCAGACAGTCCACAAACAGTGTTTGATTCTCATTGTCCCCTTCCTTCTTTGGGCCTACTTGGGACACAGGGACCTTCTCTTTGTTGCCTGAAAGACATTGGAAAGAAATGAGCCAGAAGACAGAAAGGTGAGCCTCAGGCTGGGAGGAGGGAGAACAGCCTGGGTTTAGACGAATTCAGACCAGGCATCTAGCCCCAGCCCTGTCACGTAGGAGACATGTGACCTTGGGCAAACTGCCAAGTGCTGTGAGCATTAGGTTCTTTACCTGTGAAGTGGGCTTGATGAGTCCTGTCTTGTAGGACCTGCTAGAATGATATATTGGCACAGTGCTTGGCTTTTATGGGATCTTTAATAGCCGTGACTTTTTTTTTTTAATGTTTATTTTTGACAGAGCGTAAGCAGGGGAGGGGGAGAGAGGGGGACAGAGGATCGGAAGCTGGCTCTGAGCTGTCAGCACAGAGCCCGATGCGGGGCTTGAACTCACAAGCCGTGAGATCATGACCTGAGCTGCAGTCAGTTGCTCGACCAACTGACCCACCCAGGTGCCCCAAATAGCAGTAATTTCTATGTGATTTTGACCCCAAAGTTTATCATGGTCTCATCGGGGATTGACTGTGCGTGTGTGCGTGTTTTCCACGACATCTCAGAGAATGAGCAGCTCCAGGGAGCAAACCACCAAGTGAGCCCCAAATGCTGCTTTGTAAATAGAAAATGTCCCTGTTAGTGGATATATTATTTAATTTGGATATGGGGAAGTCTTCCCCAGCAGAACGCAACTCATAGTTCCCTAGAATTGGAGTCAAGGACTAACTGTTCCTCCCTCCCAGCTGCTCTTGCATCCAAACCACAATTTTCACTCATTTCACCCCCACCGGAAGTCTAGCCCTTGCTTAGAGGTGACCACATCACGCTCAAGATAACCTAATTAAAATGCCCTTTCAAAGGGGTGGGGCCTCGGCTTTCCCAGGCCAAGGAAAAAGCACCAGCTCCCCCGCACCACTTCAAAGGACTGTCACCCTATTCTCAGGAACTCTTGTAGACAATGCATACAGAACACTATCTGTGCACTGCGTTCAGTGGCATGGGGACAGGGGTGCCGTGTGTCTTCCATACGTGCCCCAGGTGGAGACTTCTCTCTGGTTTACCCACGATCCCCAAGGAATTGCTAAGAGCAGTTTTCTATTCTAGACTTTTCTCTTACTTGTAAAACACTTGCAAGAATAAATGAGCCAGTGACCCAGGGCTTTCATTTATTAAAATTTAATTTCTCATGCACACTTTAGCCAAACAAATCCAGGTACAGATCTTTAATTTTACTAGCCAGCAGACTAAATGGGATTCAGGAATCCTAGCATGACCGTCTTGTACATTTCCCCCTCTATTTCTCCATCCCATCGATTTTATTGCCGGATTCTTGCGTATTTCTAAGGAAATTCCACTATCTGTGCCATGCTGTTTTCTTCCAGATCAGAAAATAAGATCGAAAGTTTCCCAATATGTTTTCCAGAAGAGCAAAATTCTTATTCTTAAGCCTAATGAACAGCAGTAAAGATGTGACCAGGGTCATTCATGAACCTAGACCATGAAGCTAACCTTTTAGAAGCAAGAGCATTTGAAAAATACCAAAACGAAAAAAAAGATAAAATCTGCAATTCCGTCCTCCACCGTTTAGAACTTCGACTGCTCTCTTCAACCACAGAGTGGAGGATCTTCCTCAGGCTTCACTCAGGGCAAGAGAAGCTGCCGGACGGGACACTGGAACCTTCACTGGCTGTGACAGTAGTACCATCGGTGGTGGCCACTGTGGCCCGGGCTCGCTCTCTCTCGTCTCGCAAAGCTTCTCCATACCAGTACGGGAAGGAAGTGGGGTCATTGCCAGTGACCTTGGAAAAAAACTGCAGGACTTTCATCTTGCTGGTTTCAGCGTGGGCCCTGGGACCCCACAGGAGTTCGTACTGTGGAGGATCGCTGTGGGGCACCTGCTGGTATACCAGGTACTTTTCCTGCACTAAATCTTCGGTGATGAGCTTCCTGGGTTCCCCATAGATGAAATCCTTCGTCCCAGCATACACTCCGATCTCGCTCAGCACCCTCCAGACCCTATCCTCAGGGGCACGGTCGCCCTCCATAAAGATCACACCCAGGATAAGGATCAGGAGGCCGGTCTTGGGCATGCCCTGGTCGTCACTCAGCATCCCATCGTAGGTGAGGTCTAGGGTTTTGGTAAGCACGTAGGAGTGGTTGATGGGGTTCACTTCCTTCACTTCGAGGCCAAAGACAATCTCCATGCACTCACAGGCTTTCTTGAAGATCACGGGGAAGTGGTTCTTGTGCCCTTTGATGCTCTTCAGCATTTCCGCCTTTGTGATGGGCTTCTTTGCTACATACTTGCTACTCAGAAACTGCAGCAATTTAGCTACCATCTCTTCCAGGACATCGTCAGGCAAGATCGCCGGGTCTGGTGGAGCCTGGGAGGCACCTGCATCCCGTCTTGGGTGGCCGGAGCCCTCATTTGATTTGCTCGATAGAGTGGCTTCGACGGCGGGGGAGGAAGAGCAGGCTTCCCCTGACTGCTGGAGAACACCTGCGTTTCCAGCAGCAGGCACCGCCTCTGGGGCGCCCTGGATCAAAGGAGAGAGAGAAGAGGCAGTTTCCTTCTCCTCAGTTGCAGGAACCTGTGCAGCTACCAGGTCCTGAGCCTCTCTTTGGGCCTTAAGGCCTACTTCAAGCTCATGGCTCTGACTCTCACTGTGAGACATGATGACCGGTGTTGGGGGCAGCAGGCAGAGGTATGGGCAGCAGGTGGGTGACGGCAACCAACTGGCCTGAGGGAGAGAGGAACAGCGTGAAGGACTCAAGTGTGTCAGCTCCGACAAAGGCCATCATAGCAGGTGTTCCCTTCCTTAGTGCTCTAGGGATCTCCTGTCTTCCTGATTGGAGAAGGGCTGGACGGACTCTGGGGATCTCTCTTCTGGAACAGGGGGTCATCTGTCCTTACCTTGATGCCTGCCAGGGTGTGGGACTCCTCCCTCTGCTGACCTGAGGTCACCTTCCTTAACCCAAGACCTCACCGCCGTGAGACGAGAGAGGAGGAAGCGAACGGGGTGCCACATTCAAACGCCATGCCCTGGGTCCTATCTTGTCTGACGGCAGGGGCAGCTGGGCCCCATCTGTTCTTGAGTAGGGGTCCACCGCATCCTCCATCCTCACATTAACTCCTGGCAGAACCTTAGACTCATGCCTCTGCTAACGGCCTCCAGCTCCTTGAGACCACCAGGCAGTTCAAGTTGCAGTGAGGGTGCATTACCTCTGGACACTGTGTACCAGGCTTTCCCTAGGCAGAAGCAGGGGGGAGAAGGGGACTTATCTCTCCAAGGGCCAGAGGTGGGGAGAGCCCCCAATCCTTATTCAGGGTCCTCATTTTAACTCCTGGGAGAGCCTGGGGTTCCTCCCTCGATGGCCTGACATGACTCCCTCTGCTGGTGTGAGGCTGTCCTGTCAGACCAAGGCCTTCACTTCCTTGAGACCAATGAGACAAGTGAAGAGGTGTCACATCCACCCATCCCTGCCCAAGATCTTCCAGGGCTGACAGCAGGGGTTAAGATCCAGGATGTTTTGGGATGGTGGCTCGATTTCGTCATCCCTCCTTGTACTTAACCCAGTGGCCAGCAGGAGCTGAGATGCCTACCTCTGGTGACCTGAGTGGCCTTTCCAGACAAAGATCCTTACTTCCCTGAGATCCACCCCCCCCCCATGCCAGCTGGAAACAGGGGGGGACTCAGGTAGACTGACATGCTCCTGGGCTACCAGGGGCGGGGCAGGTTTCTGTGGGGACCTCTTTGTCTGGAGTGGAAATCACCCTTAGCCTTCCATTAGCAATTCGTATTGGGCCTGCATTCCTTCCTTTCTGCAGACCTGAGGCTGCATCCCTCACCCCGAGGCTCTGTCTCCTGGAGAGGCCAAATAAGTGAGGGGGTGACAGGGGGTTGCAGGAAGATGCTTCTGCCTTACAGCTCTACTTAGAGCCTCGCAGGGCTGACGGCAGGAGCAGGACAGGGCTGGAGAGCCCTCTATCCACGGCTGAAGGTCCTCCGGTCCCACATCAGAGTCCTCACCTTGACTCCTGCAGGGCTGGGGCTCCTCCCCCTGTACTTGAGGTTGCACCTCTCAGACCAAGGCTGTCCCCTCCCTAACGCCACCGAGAAGGGACTGAAGCGGGGCTTCGGCCTCCCGGGCCTGCCTGGTGTATACTAGGGCTGATGGCCTGGGGTTGTGTGGGTCTCCGCGCAATTCCCTCCGTGTTCTGGCTTGAGGGTGACCCCCAGCTCTCCTCAGGGTATCCCTATTTATTCCTGGGAGGGTCTGAAGCCACTTTTTGTTGACCTAAGAATGCTGCCCTCAGGGAAACGCCCCCATCTTCCAAAGACACTAGGCAAGGAGGTGAGCAGGGCGGACGGGGCATCTGTATCTGACAGCCCTGGCTGGGGCCCCTCACGGCTGAAAGACAAGACAGGTTTCTGTGGGGCCCGCCCTATCCTCTCGGCCCTAAAGATCCTCACCATTCTACCTGGCAGGGTCTGAAACTCCTCTCTTCGATCACCAGATATTGGGTCCTTCAGACCAAGGCTCTCACCTCCCTGAGACCCCCGATTCGGAAACAGAAGGAGGTTCCGCCTGACGCTATCTTCCGGGGTCCCCGGGGGCTGACAGAAGGGGTCACAAGAAACTTCTGGAGAGGTTCCTTAGGGTTTGGGGAGGGGCGGGGCAGAGCCACAGTCCTTCCCGAGGACTCCCCACGGGCTCTCGACGGGGCCTGCGCCCTCTCCCTTTGGCGAACCCGAGAATGAGGCCCGCAGGCCGAGGCTGCCATCTCCCAGAAACCACCCACAAGGAAGTACAGAGGGTTGGGGGAGGCGCTTCTCATCCCTCACGCGCCTTCTCCCAGACCACCCAAGGCGGCGACCGGGAAAAGGAAAATCGTGTCCCCGGCTTTATCCGGAAAGAGGTCCCCTCGGCCCTCCATAAGGGTCTTCACCTTGAGACCTGGCAGAGCCTGGGCCTCCTCCCTCTGAGGACTTGAGTTCAAGCCCCTCAGACAAAAGCCTTTTTTCCCCTCAGGCTCTCAAAATGGAGGCCCGGATTCGGCCCGTCTGGGGCCCTGCGCGGGGCCTGTAAGGCAGACGACGAGCGAGGTGGGGGTGGAGAGCGGGAGCTCCTCCTCAGCCCTCATTCTGGGTCCTCACCTTAACCTGGCCACCCCAGCCGGCGGCACGTCCCTCCGACCACCGGGACCCGCTTCCCGTCAGAGAAAGCGAGGCCCTCCGGCTCCCAAGATGGACGTTGGGATCAACCACATCCGGGACCCCGCGGGGGTCCTTCCGGGTAGACCACAGGGGGTGGGGGAGGGGCGTTGGGGCACCCGCTCCGCGGTGAAAGCTACCGCCAGCCCTCCCTCTGAGTCCTCACCTGACGGGTGCTGGAGCCGGCCCCGTCCCTCAGGTGCCAGAGCTGAGCCCACGCCCGGAACTCCTCCCTCTGGCGACCTGAATCCACGCCCCAAGTGATGAAGACAGCCTCGCGGGCCCCCGGACCGCCCTAAAGCGGAAGTCAGGTACGTCACTTCCGGGAACTCTGCCTGGGGCCTTCCAGGGAAGATTGTGGGGGCAGGGAAGAACTCAGGGCCGTTTGTGTCTGGGGAGAGGACCCCTGGCTCCTCCTCCTGGTTCTTTACCTTGAACTCCCTCTTCTGACAGAGTCCAGCCCGCTCAGAGGGAACCTCGCTTCCCTCAGATTCCGAAAGGCAGGAGGCAACACATCCCTGTCCTCAGCCTGGTGTTTCCTAGAGTTGATAGTAGGGGCGGGTCCCGATCTACTTGGGATGGGAAAACCCCTGACCCTTACCTTGACTTATTGCACTGGCCGAGTCCCCCGCCCCCTGTTGAACTGAGGCCTCATCCCTCAGGTCAAGGCCTTTATCTCACCAAAAGAGGAGGCAGGCTCCGTCTTGGCATGACGGTCCCGAGTGGGGTCTGTCCGAGCTGACAGTAAAGGCAGGCTTGCGGCTCCCTATATATTGTGGGATACTCCGCAAGTATTTATATTTCTTCCTGATAGGGCCTCTACCCTCTGCCTTTATAAGGCCCCCTGAGATGCCCACCGCACAAATGCAGACGATGTGAGTGGTAAGTGATAATTGTTCCTGGGGCCTCCCCGGGGCTGAAAGCAGGTGTGCATGCCTGTGGGGCCCCTCTGTTTGGGGTGGGTGGCTCATTCAGCTCTCCATAAGGGTCCTCACCTTAATACCTGGCAGGGCCTGGGGTTCCTCCCTCTGCTAGCCTGAGTCCTGCCCCCTCAGTAGAAATCAGGCTCTGCCACATCTGGTCATCACGTGCCAGGGTCTCTCATGGCTAACGGCTGGGGCAGGATGGGCGTGGGGACCTATCTCTTCTGTGGTGGGAGTTCTTGGTTCTCCCTCAGGGTTACTACCTTGACTTCCAGCACTGAGTTGGCCTTCGCCTTCCATGGACTTAAGCCCGACTGCTTTGAACCAAGAGTGGAACACAACCCCCCAGGTTTGTTGTCTTGGCACATACAGGTGAGGCAATAAATCTGTAAATAACTTAAGGACAATTAACATATTTCCGGCATTCTGAATCTGTCACGAACATTTTATAGTTGTCTCCATGAAGGTCTTGAACATTTTTGTGAAGCTTTTTCTTAGGTGATCTTTGGATTTTCATGCCGTGGTGAATAGGATACGTAAACAATTTTCATAATGCACTTGTCATCCTCCACTTCTTTGCGTTTTCCCAGAGACAAATCAATAAAAGGTTGCAGTGTCGATGAGACAGAGGGTAGTGTCTTTTTACAAAATTTATTTTTTCCAGCTTTATTGAACTGTACTTGACAAATAAAAATTGCATGCCTTTAAGGTATATAATATGATGTTTCGATACGTATTGTGAAATGACTATGACAGTTGAGCTAATTAACATATCCGTCACCTCCCATAGTTACCACTGTGTGTGTGTGTGTGTGTGTGTGTGTGTGTGTGTAGTGAGAACACATGAGGTCAACCCTCTTAGCAAATTTTAAGTATATAGTAGAGTATGGTCAACTATAGTCACCATGCTGTGTATTAGATCTCCAGGACTTATTCAGCCCAGGTAACTGAACCTTTATACCCATTTCCCGCACACCTCAGCCCCTGGCAACCACCATCCCACTTGGCTTTTATGAATTCGACTTCTCTAGATTCCATATATAATTGAGATCATGCATCCTTTTCTGTCTGACTTACTACACCTAGAACAATGGCCTCCAGGTTAGTCGATATTGTCACAAATAGCAATTATTTCCCTCTTCTTAAAAGCTGAGTAATATTACAATGACACAAGGGAGTATATACTAATGAACAATATACAATATTATATATTAATAATATATAATGATATATTAATATAGATCACATTTTCATATATATCTCCCATTTTTATATATATTTCACATTTGCTTTATCCATCCATCCATTAATTGACACTAGGTCCTTTCCTTATCGTGACTTTTGCATATAACGCTGCAATGAACATGGAGTGCAGATAGCTCTTTCAGATACTGATTTCATTTTCCTTTGGATACATACCCAGAAGCGGGACTGCTGGATCATATGGGAGTTCTATGTTTTAAAGATGTTTGTTTATTTTTGAGGGAGGGAGGGAGAGAGAGAGAGAAAGAGAGGCAGAGAGAGAGAGAGAGGAGG